AATGAAAAAAAAAAAAAAGTTTCCATTGCATTCAGAGTAAGATCCCAAATCCTGACCCAGTCTGCCTAATGGGGATTTCCAGGTTCTAGCCCGGGCCCACACTCCTGTCATGAGCCCTGCTCCCCGTTCACCAGTCCCCTTGGCCTCCTTGCTGTTTGTCCCTGGAATACACTGAGTATATTCCTGCTGCAGGGCCTTTGGACTTACTGTTCTCTCTGCCTGGAACACTTCTGCCTCTGTATCCACAGGGCTCCTGTCCTCACTTCAGTATGGTCTCTGCCCAGATATCACCTCGTAGGTCTTTCCTATATAAAATAGGCCCTCCGCCGGCCCTGTGGCTTGGTGGTTGGGTGCGCGCGTTGCGATGCTGGCGGCCCGGGTTCGGATCCCGGGTGCGCATCGAGGCACCACTTCTCTGTCCATCCTGGGGCCGAGTCCCACATACAGCAACTAGAAGGGTGTGCAGCAGTGACATACAACTATCTACTGGGGCTTTGGGGGCAAAAAATAAAATAAATAAAATCTTTAAAATAGGCCCTCCTCCATCACTCTCTATCCCCATACCTGCTTTATTTTTATCAGGAGCACCGTCACCATGTATCTATTTGTTTATTTTCTCTCCCCTTCCCTCCCCCGACTAGAATGCCAGTTCCATAAGAGCAAGAACTTTGTCTTCTTCACTGGTAGCTCCAGGCCCTAGGACAGCCTAGCACATAGTAGGGAGGCAATTAATCTTGAGTTGATTTGTCGAATGAATCCCCACTGCCACCCTCCTGGTTCGAGGCACCATCACCCCAGGCCTGGACTCTGAGATAGCTCCCTAACCCATCTACCTGCCCATCCCCTGCCCACGCCCAGTTGTTTCTGCACACACCAGACAGGGGAATCTTTCAAAACTGCCAATTGAATCATGTCACTCTCGGGGTTAAAACTCTGCCATAATCAAATAATTTTATAATCCCTTGCATTGATAAGATTCTGTGGAAATAGTCACTTTTGCTGGCATGGGTGTACATTGGAGGGCACTTTGATATCTCTCAAAGTTAATAATGTAGGTACCCTTTGAACCCAGCAATTCCACGTCTAGGAATTATCCTTTAGATAGGTTCTTCTTTTTTTTTTTTTTACATTGTTTTATGTAACTTTTTTATTTTTTAAGTTGTGGTAAAATATTCATGACAAAAAATTTACCATTTCAGCCATATTTAAGTTTACAATTCAATGGCATTAAGAACATTCACATTGTTGTGGAACCATTACCATCATCCATCTCCGGAACTTTTTCATCTTCCCCAACTGTTTGGGAGTTCACGTTAACTCCCAGAGCCTCAGTTTCCTCATCTATATGTTGGGAATAATAATGTCGACTTTGCAGGGTGTTGTGAGGGTTACAAAACACAATAATATAAGTAAAGCATCCATTATTCTAATTGGTATAGAGTAGTCCTTAATATAGGACTACTAGTGTGATTATGTACATTAATGTTTAATAGGCTACAAAGTACTTTCATATACACCTTCCAACTACTCTTAAGAGAAGGAAGAGAGACCCATGTCTCTATTTAGGAAGTGAAGATACTAAGACCTGCAACACCTTGAAGATCACAGGCTGGTACAATGGAAGGAGGGGGAGGGCTGCTGACTGTGGCCCGGTACTCAGCAGTGATGGAGCCTTGGAGAGGCTGATGGGGCAAGGTGAGTGCCTCGTAACCAGACACTGACCTTGTCAGCTTAGGCTTACCTGCGGCAGGGCCTTGTGCTGAGAACTGACTGAACTACAGACCCTACCCCAGGAGAGGCATTCTACTAGTTGAGTAAGTGATGACAGGATTTGAAAGTTTTCCCAAAATCATAATGGGAAAACATCAACAGATATTATTTAAAAAACAGGAGCAGTACCATTTGTCTTCCTAGGTTAGTATCAGATTTACTGTCTGCAACAATGTTTGAGAAATAAAGAATAAGGATCAAGCACTTTTAACTTGAAAAAGTGCACTTTTCTCTCTCTCTCTTTTTTTTTTTTGAGGAAGACTGGCCAATCTTCCTCTTTTTTTTCTTTTTTCTGCCCAAAGCCCCAGTACATGGTTGTGTATCATAGTTGTAGAGTTGTAGCTGTTCTATGTGGGACGCTGCCTCAGCATGGCTTGATGAGCAGTGAGTAGGTCTGCGCTCAGGATCAGAACCAGAGAACTCTGGGCCACTGAAGCGGAACATGCAACTTAACCACTGTGCCACCAGGCCAGCCCCTGAACTTTCTTTTCTTAAGTTTTTTTTCTCCCCAAAGCCCCACTGTATAGTTGTGTATCCTAGTTGTAAATCCTTCCAGTTCTTCTGTGTGAGCCGCCGCCACAGCATGGCAACTGACAGATGGGTGGTGTGGTTCCACGACCGGGAAATGAACCCAGGTCAGCAAAGCAGTGAGAACGCCGAACTTTAACCACTAGACCGTCAGGGCTGGCTCTTAACATTTTTTGTTATAATGGTTAATAAAAAGATTTTGCCATAGAGAGCATTGTAGTTAATTTCAGACCATATAAGGCATTAAGCAGTAACGAAGATTATGCAGTCAGATGTGACAATAATACTCAAGTGCGTAAGTGTGGATAACTTGGTTTCATGAAGTTTTTGTTTCTTCTGTCAAAAGCACAAATGTATAGTGAAACTACCCAAAAAAAGTAAAGCATAGAACAGTATGCTATCATTTGTGCACAAAAATGGGATATACATGGCATAAATGCACAGAATTTCTGTGGGAGTATACCCAAAGGACTAGGACTATTGGTGGCCTCATGTTCATACTTGTACAAAGACATGGATAGTATCCGTAACTGATACGTAGCATTGTTGTGTGCGTGCCCTTCTTATTGAAATTTACATAAATGGTATCAAATCAGATGCATCATTCTGTATCTTATTTTTCCATTCTGCATTTTGCGTATTTATATACATATACCTACATACATGTACATTATATTTAAATAAAGTATACATTCACATGGTTCAAAAATCAAAAGAGCCTAGAAAACTTTACAGAGTCTCATCCCTAATCCTGTGCCTGTTATTGCTTAAGGCAGGGGTCTGCCTGCGGCAAGACATGCCAATAGTCAAGAGGCAAGGAGGTAGGAGAGAAAGAACTTTTCATTACAGCTTGCTAGCAAGAGGGAAGATGGCCGACTAATGTCTGAAAGAACCATCTTACAGAACAAAGACTACAGACCAGTTATATATGGGGCTGGTCTCCTCCGGGTGGGGAAGGCAGCTGGTCTCCAGGTGGGGGCATCCATCTGATTTCCAGGTGGGAGCAGACATCTGGTCTTAGTTCCTGACAGCCTTTTGTTTTGCTGGATATGCATCAGACTGGAGCAATGCCCTATACCCCGATCTTTCAGTTGTCATTGATGATGGCTGTGAGCATAGACTCTCTGCCCCGGGGGTCATCACATTCCTAAGGAACTCAAGAGAACAAAATTATCACCTTATAGCAGCTGGGAGGGGCAATAAAATCTACGGACCATGTCTGGGTTAGTTAATCAGAGGTCATTCAGAGTTACAATAGGGTTCCTTTTCTACAATATGGCTTCCCTTATGTCAACCTTGTGTTGAGCCGGTATCATGCCCTCCCCCCAAGTAACCAATTTTTAAAGTTCTTTGTACCTTTACAGAATTTTCTTATGCAAACACATATGTTCTCCCTACTCCTTTTTTTTTTCTCCCTTTTTCTCCCCAAAGCCCCAGTAGATAGTTGTACGTCATAGTTGCACACCCTTCCAGTTGCTGTATGTGGGATGCCGCCTCAGCATGGCCGGACAAGCGATGTGACGGTGCGCACACAGGATCAAACCCGGGCCGCCAGCAGCGGAGCGCGCACACTTAACCGCTAAGCCACGGGGCCGGCCCCTCCCTACTCCTTTTTAACACAAAAGATTGCATTCTATTGATACTCTTCTGCACCTTTCTTCCTTCACTTAACAATATGCTTGGAGATTTTTTCCATATTTGTACATCAAGAGCTTTCTCATTCTTTTTACAAGGTTAAATCCCATTGGGAGGATGTACAATAACTGATTTAATGGCCCCTTATTGAAAGACAATTGAGCTGTTTCCTAGACAAAGCCTGCCTGCCTTCCCCAACAGGGTGGCTGATCAAGCACTCAGGATGGGCTTATAAAACGGGGTGGCAGGGTGGGGAGAATGCTACCTTCCCAGGTGGACTGAGGCCAGTGGTAGGCGTAAGACAGGGAAGAAAAGTACGGATGAGAGGCAGGAGGCAAGGTGGGGTCTCCCCAGGATTCCTGGAAGGCTGGTTTCTCTGGTGACGTTTCCTCCAGTGTCCCCACTGCCCACTGCTCTGGCTCAGTTCCTTCTTCACATGCCCCTTACCTGTTGGCCTTCTCCTGGCTCTAGGCCTGACTCTGCCTGGGGAACTCCCCAAGACCCTGGTGTGGGGGGAACTGGGGTCTGCCTCTCTGCGCCTGCACTCTTGCTGGCTCTCCACATTGCCCCCCACCTCCCCATCAACTCCTGTGGCACCTCGTCCAGGACCCTGAGCAATAACTGAACGGCTCAGGGGCCTTCACCTGGCCCTGGTTCAGCTTCCGTATCTGCCCCACGGGCAGCCTCTGGGCACCTAAACCTAGGCTGCCTTGGGTGAGTGGGGATGCGCTGTTGAAGCAGAAGCCCCAAGGCTGGCTGGTGCCCATTCCTCTCACTCCCCATCCCTGCCAGCAGGACATGCCCTGTGTTTCCTCTGGTGCAGATTTGAGATAACCTGTCCAGCTGGCAGGGCCCTCTGACTGTGGATAAAATACTGGATGGTGAAATCCAGAAGGGGAGGTCCAGAGAGAGGTGGTGACTCCCTCCAAGGTCACAGAGCAAGCTAGTGTTGAAGCGCCCTGGTGGGGGCGGTGGGAGGGATTGCTGCCTCCTGGCCCAGACTTCTACCCGCCCTTCATTGCTCAGCTCAGCTGCCCTGTGGGGTAAACTGGGTGGAGGGAGCAGAAGATCTGGCTTGGGAGGGAGACAGGAAATCTGGCTGACAGTCTTACGTTTACTGCCTTTCTCTCAGACCTTGTCCACCTCTGACTGTGGCTTCCTAGCAGGAACAGATGGACATGGCCTGGCAGGGGACACAGTTGTTGCTTGTGGCTTTGGTGGCTGCTGCATGGGGTGGCCAGCCCAGGACTCCACGGGCCAGGACGGACCTGCTCAACGTCTGCATGGACGCCAAGCACCACAAGACAAAGCCAGGCCCTGAGGACAAGCTGCATGACCAGGTGAGGATGGTGTAGGGTCTGGGGTGGGGGAGAGGGCTGACCCTAAAAAGGGAAGAAGTTAGAGGAATGAGAAGATCAGCTTTGGGGGGTGATGGAGGCCGGAGGATGGCTGAGGTGAACCTGGAGGGCCTCCCCCAGGAGGCTAGCAAATCTACAATAATGGGGGGACCATTTATTTAGCCCCCACTATGGGCCAAGTTCTTTCCTCACACCTGGTTGGTGAATATGCCCAAAAGGCCTACTTGGTAGAGGGGTGGTGGTCTCTCCTTATACAAATGAGGAAATAGGCCCAGAGAGGGCACAGGTACAAGTGGAATGAGAGGCCAATCACTAGCAGGGGCCAAGAGAGGGACTGGTGGTACCTTCCCCAACCTTAATTATGTGCCAGCCCACGGAGCTCAAAGGCAAGGTAGAAGGGGAGACAGGTCCCTCATGGCACGATGCAGCAAACAGGTACAAACAGGCCAGGTCTCCCATCCCCATTAGGTCCTGAAGAGACAGTGACAAGTCAGATACTCTGGGGAGACTTCCCAGGAAAAAGAGGCCGTTGGCCTTGGCCTTGGAGGATGAGTAAGAATTTTCCAGGAAGGCAAGGCAGGAAAGGGCAGCCTAGCAGAGGACAGCGTGAACATGGGTCGGAAGATGACAGCAGAAGCAGTGGCAAGTCTGGTGTGGCCAGAGCCAAGGATGCTGCTGCCCACAGAGACGGGGAGGTGAGGCCAGGTCCCCATTTCATAGGTAAGGCCCTGAAGCAGTTCAGGGAATCTGAGCTTGAAGCTGACCTCCAGGCTCAGGACAGATGCCGATCTTTCATTCCTTCTGGTCTCCTCCTCTGCTCCCCACAGACTTTCACATTGCGAGAGGGCTGGGGATGTTCTCAGGGAAAGACTGGGGTGTGGACTGACTCCAGGGGCTTGAAGGGAAAGAGGGAAGCCCAGGGGCTTCATCACTTCTGAGTCATTTCCAACATTTCATTTGCTTTGTGTGCGTGTGGTACAATACATGTAACAAAAAATTTGCCATTTTCATCATTTCTAAGTTACTGGAATTGAGTACATTGACATGTTGTGCAAGCATCACCACACTCCATCTCCAGAACTTTCTCATCTTCTTTGACTGAAAGTCTGTATTCACCAATTCATTCACAGAACTTTTGAGTTCTAAAGGGTGTTTTGAAGAACTCTCTGCAACACTTCCTCTTTGCCAACAAATGGTGCAGACACAGACGTCTGAGGGAGGCAGATGATTGTACTTCTGAGGGACATGACCTACATGGGAGTGGCTGTTTTTGTTGAGCGCCTACTATAGGCCAGGAAGTGCTTGTCCTTATGTTAATGAACCCTTTGGGAGGCAGAAACCACTGACCCTGGCTGGCAGGTCAGGGATGGGGTGCCTGGGGATTTGCAGGGCAACCAAGATTTGGGGCGTCTGAGGAGGAGCATGCGGGAAGCGGGCAGGCCTGGCAGCGTGTTCTGTGACAGTGGCGCTGGGCGTGGGCTGGGTTGTTGGAGAGGGGTAGGTTTGGCCCCACTCTTGTGGATTTTCCTTAGTGTCTCCTGAGTGCCCAGACCTATCACATCCCCTCTCGCTTGACCCCGGGCACTAGAGTTCATCTGAGATTTTAATCAATTGGCTCATGTTCGCTCAGCTCTTGAGTCCCAGCCTGAGTGATTTATACAGAGAAGCTTCCACCACTTCCACTGTCTTACCCACCTTGAATTGACGTCTCTAGGATTGTCTCCCACATTTTGTCAGGTCCTTGTTCAGGCCCGTGTGCAGGCCATCGCCCCTCGGTTGCCTGCTGCTTTCAAGACCTATCTGGAGTCCCCTAGCCTGGGGTTCCAGAACCAGGGAGTGCCAGACCAGCCCCTTTCACCTCTGCCCCCCACCACAACCTGGGGCCAGGCTCCTCTCCACCCTGTCCTGAGGTAAAATCTTAACCCCACCATTTGCTAGGGGTGCAGCTTACTTAAACTCTGTAAAAATTGGAGTAATGATGTTTTTACTGGATGGTTGACAAGATAAAGTGCAAAAGCCCCAGGGACTTTGCACCTGCTTTTTCTACGCCGACAGTGTTCTTTGTCTTCCTCCCACCCCTGACTCCCCATGAGGGCAGAGATTTATCTGTTTTGTTCACTGCATATTCTCAGCACCCAGCACAGTACCTGATATATAATAAGCACTCAATTAATATTGACTGGATGCAAAATGAGTAATAGAAATAGCCTGGATATGTGAAATAACCGTAAACTCTTTAGAGCTGTACAAATAATGATCGCTCCCCCAGACAGTAGTTCCCCACCCACATCCTCTGTGTTGCTCCCTGTTAAAAGCCAAGATCATAATTGCCTCTATCCCAAAATGGGAAGTCCTCAAGGGACAGGCATAAAGGTGCTCTCTCCAGAGAGTGTTCCTCTGGATGATGCACCTGGGGCAGAGGAGCCAGAACGCGGAGGAGAGGGCTGTGGTGGGGGAAGGGCTCGGTCCTGTGTCTCCCCACCCAGTGCAGTCCCTGGAAGAAGAACGCCTGCTGCTCGGTCAGCACCAGCCGGGAGCTGCACAAGGACACCTCGCTGCTGTATAACTTTACCTGGGATCACTGCGGCAAGATGGAGCCCGCCTGCAAGCGCCACTTCATCCAGGACACCTGCCTCTATGAGTGCTCCCCCAACCTGGGGCCCTGGATCCAGCAGGTACGGGCGTCTCCCTCACCCCACCCCAGCAGGCTCATTCAAGGCTGTGGCTGCCAACATCCCTGGCTGAGAGGAGC